CGGGGGGGGTTTGCTTCCCAGTTATGGTTTCCTAGAGAAGCTTCTCTCTCTACAAGTGATGCAGCAGAAGTATTTTCTCGCTTTTTTCTGCTCTTATTAAAGAAAGACCCATGAGGATTGAGAATTGAAAGAGAAGAGTAATGCGTAGGGGCCCATGAATGATCTGGTTCGGCTCATGTGAGCTAGTCTTTTTCATCATTTTTGTGTTTTCTCTGTATATCTTCTGCACCATGACCCAAGACCGAGAGAACTGGCCGGTTGGTTCTATTCAGAGTAGAGTAAATCAATCAAATTATCTAGAATATTTGTAAAAATTCATCCATAATTAAACCTAATGGTTTTTTGAATTTTTTAGATATTTTTGCTAGAAAATTTTAAAAGAATTCGGGGCTTTAGATTTTTTTTCCTTAAAAAAAATGAAACCAAACGAAAAAAATTCATTATAAACTAAGAACTAATTGACTAAATTGGATTTATTTGATTTTCGAAGTTGTAAAATCAAACCATATCCATGGATTTAGGTTTTTTTATTCGATTTGGTTCAATTTAAATTTATTCAAGAAAAATCGACTCTATGGGTTGAGCTTTTTAATTCAAACAGCTATCACGATAGAAATTGCTTCTTTATTTTTTTTCTCCCTAAAAAGAAAGTCATTGTGGTTATTTTTGGGGTGGGTGTTCTGTTTTTCTAGAGAAGGACATGTTCAAGTTAGGTTTTAAGTTTTGACTTTGGTGCCATTGATTAATGGGTGCTGGTCCAGGGAGTGAGAGAAAAAAAGGGTTGCGAGGGGAAACTGACAGACCTGGCGCCCTCTTATTCTCATCCTCATCCTAACGGGATAGATATCATAGATTCCTCTATTTTATCTCATACATGATTATACAAGAAACCAAACCCTCATTTAGGGTTATATTTTCTACTTTTGAAAGTCAGCTTGAAGACCTATATATCTTGCACTAATTTGAATTACCCATTAGTTAATATTGATTACCCCCTCTAAATTATCACTAATTGTATATCAGAACTCCAAATTGTATTAATTAGACATTTGAGAATGAATATAAACACAATCTACATACAAATTTCTCATTCAGCTGGGGCTCAAGTGATATTAGGTAATTTGTTCGTAATCCAGATATTAATTGACATTACTGTTTCATATTCCTTAGAAAGGTTTTCAAGGTTCAAACTTCTCCTATACAACGAGAAAACATGAGCAAGTTTTGGGATTAACAATCTTAATTCATTCATGCAGATTATTTATTTGACCTAGTTACTCAAAAACAAAAATTAAAAAACATTATTATATATATATATATATATATATGTATATATTCAGAATTTTTATTCTTAGACATGTGCTAGAGAGGGGTTAGAAAGAAACTGTCAATAAACACATGGTAAAAATCAGGTGAACATGTTAGAAAATAATATAAATTATATATTGGGATATTATCTAATAGTTTAAGTTATTGTATCAAGGTAGTTTTTTAATATGATATTAAAATCTTGATGACTAAATAGTTATGAGTTTAAATCTTATAATTTTTATTTATATGATAAAAAATTAAACACAAGTTAATATAGGTCTGTGTAAATTTCAAACTCAAAAAATTTTCACTTGAAAAAGTATATTAGAAAATAATATAAATCATGAAACCTTACTTAACAACTTGAATTTTTTAGTTGAATTAATTTTTTAATATGATAAAAAATTAATAAAAGAGAAAAGAGCTAAGAGATTAAGATCAGAAAGGAGAGGACGGATCGAAGATATCAAAGCACATATATTTCGCAACATTTCAAATGTAGGAATCACTTAACATGCAAAGGGCATAAAAGAAAACGTCTTCTAGTACAAGGAGTAGCTTGAAGTCTGATCAGTCTTTCGTACACTCATGGTTGGCTCGATTCAACTTTCAATGCTATAGGTAGTTATACGAGGGAGAAGAGGAACTACTGGTTTGGCAATGGAAGAACTCTGAAATGGACGGAACCTGTGGTTGAACATGACACACGTTTCCTCGTTAGTGTATTATTACGTACAATTTTATCCCAAATTTGATGTTCCAGAACAAAATATCTACGTAATAACAGCCACTCATGTTTTATTTTTGTATTGATATACAATTGTATCGACAGAAGCAAGTTCTATCAGCATGTGTACATGATACCATATCCTAGATCGATTTTAGATGGACTGGCAAGAGGGCTGTCTCTTTTTTTTGAAAGAGGGCTGTCTCTAATTCATCAATCATTTCACTCTTGAAAACTCATCGTCTCTCTATCTAATTTTTTGTGTCATTAAGCATGGATCGTTGGTGAATTCACAAGGTCCAGTTTTTGTGTCGTTACGCATGGATCGTTGGTGAATTTTCCTGTTGATCTGATCATGGTTAATCCAACTACATCAGCTAAAAATGCTTTGTAAGGTACATGATCACTAATCAAGTGATGTGCCTGTATATGTGGTCCTGTTTGATCTTCCACTTTATGGGTTTTGACGGAGCCTCCTGCAGCAGGCACCATATTTTTTTGTTTTTTTTTTAAAATTATTTAGAGATTATAGATGACGGTCAGAAATGTTAACGACCTGATATTGCTTTGATAGATACTACACCAAGTTGTAGAGATAAAAAGAAAGAAAAACGAAGAAGACTGGTTAATACATACAAGGACTGCATCAATTTTATTTTTCATTTATATCTAAAAGATATGAATGGGTAAAGACATATTAATTAGTACTTCTCAAAATCATTTCAAGTATTTTTATCTTCCTTTTCAAGGTGATGGAAGGTTTGTAGTTTAATCATTATTCTCAAGAATCTCAAATAGTGAAAATTCCTTTGATGTGTTTACTTAGGTAAGGGTTTTTCATTTTTTGAAATATAAAATAAATCATGTGCTGTATATATTTAATTGAAAGTAAATCTTCCTAAATTAAAAACACGTATTTTTTAAATTTCTAAAAAACTAAAACTTACTGAAATTTATTTTTCAGATTCTTCACTTTAAAATGTAAGGATCATGTTTTGTTTGTACTTTGTATAATGTTAGTAACTTTCTATTGTTCCTTAATTATTTTAATCAAGAATTGATGGCTATTGTCATTTCTGTTCTATTTTTTGCACGCAGGAGATGATAAAAGAAACAAAAATCGTAAATCGTATAAAATCTATGCACATCTCCCGTAAGAAAACATCTATCCATATCTTATATTTAAGCCAGTAAAAAGGATATTAAAGATACTTGCAATTAAATTTAGGATATTAAAGATACTTGCAATTAAATTTTATCCACATATTTTTAAAGTATAAAGATGTACATAGGAGCATTTTGAGTGCTTAATAATAATGATCTAGAAAAATCCAAAAAGTTTAAGAATAAGATTTATGTGTTGAATAATCGGCTAATCTTTTTGTTCTAACAATCTAATTTATTTATTCTAGCTGAGGCGGTCGGTGCCTAGTAAATCAAGATAGTCGGTGGCTGATACATGCAAAATATCTCTTTTGATAGATTAGTAATTCTTAGATATTTAAGTAAATACCTTTTTAGAGAAAGAGTGAAATGTTATTATAAAGAGAGATGCTTAGAAAAAATAAATATAATAAAAAATAGAGATTTGTGAACCTGGAGCTTTAAGAATTCATAATGTATTTATAGCTTATGAGTATTCTCTTTTTATGAAGATAAGAAACTAGAAAGTAATTTTTTTTATAATATCAATGAGGGATAAATATCCTTTATACATCATTTTTATATACCTAAGGATGTTAAGAGATGAATATCTTTAACTTAATATTTGATGTTAAGGGTCACAAGAATAAACAAACGAAATCTTATAGTTGAATATAGGGCCTGAAAAGGTCATTAGTTCTATATCTATTTAAGTTTTGTATGATGTCGAGTCCATGGATGTTAGGTCTGGTAACTCATTGGACCCACATGTAATTGGGCTTGTTTCCAAACATAAGTTGAGCTCCCATATGACATAAGTGTTCTTGGATAGGCTGGACCATTCCATCCAATTCCATAGAAAAGGCTCAATTTTGTATTTTTTTAGTCGGTTTGGCGATAAGCTTCGCTTCTACAACTGCCTCCCCAGCTGTTGCAAACACTGAGCGAAAACGGTGACAACACAAAGAATGTCGTTGTGTGGGGATGTGATTTGCCAAGCCAGGGCAAACAAAGCTGGCCAACCCTTTTAGATTAGGAATACTAAGGCCTCTCATTTTTTCTCATTTTTTTTAAGGCTAGCTGAATAGAGAATGAAATCCAGAAATCGAGGAAGAAGGCCTTCCGATCTTTTTTTTTTTTTAAGGCTGCACACCCTATTGAAGTACCAAAGGCTTTCGTTCTTATCGATCCAATCCAGGTTATAGTTTAGTTTAAAAATGTTGGGTTTGGCAGCTCGTCAAAACTACATGTATTTGGGCTCAGCGCATAACTAAACTCAAGGATATTGGGTAATCGAGAAACTCTCAAACTTACTTGTACTTGAGCTTAACACGTAACTAAGCCCAAGGATGTTAGGTCTGATAGCTTGTCAAACTCACATATACTTGAGGCTTGACATGTAACTGAGTCTAATGATATTGGACCTGACATCTTGTTAGACCTATATATTATATCCATATATACTTGGGTTCAATGTATAGCTGAGCTCAAAGATGATAAGTTTGACAACTCACCAGACTCACTTGTGCTTGAGCTTAACATGAAGTTGAGCTCTAAAATATTAGGTTATCAACCAACTTTTTTCCTTTTTAAATATGGATTCAGTCAAAAATAATATATGTAAAACACATTGATGAACCACTTAATAATCAAGAAATTAGATAAACTATGTATACTGTTATTAAAAAAAAACATTAGATGAGTTTTGTATGATTAAAGAATGTCAAATA